GATAATGAGTGCCGTTACTGTCATCATCGGAGATGCTCACAGTGCGCTGGACGCGCAAGCCGAGAAGCTGGCCAGATGCCTCTTCCACCCGCCTGGGAGGCAGGGAGACAAGAGCTGCAATTTGGGTGGAGTGAAGTGGGTTTCCCTGGGAGGAAAGGCAGTGGGCGGAACTGTTACTTTAAATAATGTTGCCTACAAGCCAGAAATAGGTCTCCCAGGCAGGGAGCACCTAGAGACAGCCCAAAGAGACAGAGGCAGGAGGAGCGGGAGAGAGGCTGTGTCTGCGCTGCGGGGGCAGGGAATACCTGCCCTCAACCGCAGAGGGGGACAGAGGGATGCCTGGGGGTGGGGGATGGGCCAGCAGCCCTGGGCCTTCCTCCTGACCCTAATGAGGCCCTAACTGGGACCTGGGAGTTCCTGGCTGAAGCAAATAGACAAGTCCTCGCTACTTGGAAGGCTGAGGCAGGAGGATTGCTTGAGCCCAGGAGTTTGAAGTTACAGTGAGCTAGGATCTCGCCATTGCACTCCAGCCTGGGTGACAAAAGGAGCCCCTGTCTCTAAAAAATAAAAATAATAAAATAAAAAAGGAATGGACTTTTATTAAAGTTTAAATTTCACCACGCTTCACTGACATCAGCAAACAAATCCAGATCCAATGAGCCCCTGGTGCCTTTTTTTATAATGTATGCTTAAATTATGTACACAATGTGCATCATTTTATTTTATTTTTAAAATAAAAGCAAGCTATGCATACAATAAAGAAAATTCTGATGGCATAGAAAGACATAAAATCAAAAAATAGAAGTTTCCTCCCTCCCCATACTGGGTACCTCTCCCAAAAGGGAGATAACACATTCTGGAGTATCTGTCTTGAAAAAATTGTGTGCCTTTTCCAGTGTGTTTGTGTGGTTTTAAGTGTGTTTGTGCTTATGTATTTGTACACACACATACACAGAAATATATGTACTATTTCAATTTACCCAAATGACGTCATAGCAAATAGTATCATGTCTTCACACTATTCTTTGACTTCTTTTTCACATTTTTGCAACGAATTTAATTTTTTTTTTTTTTTTTTTTTGAGATGGAGTCTTTGTCGCCGAGGCTGGAGTGCAGTGGTGCAATCTCAGCTCACTGCAACCTCTGCCTCCTGGGTTCAAGCGATTCTCCTGCCTCAACCCCCTGAGTGTCTGGGATGACAGGTGTGCACCACCATGCCCAGCTAATTTTTGTGTTTATTTTTGTATTTTTCGTAGAAACGGGGTTTCACCATGCTGGCCATGCTGGTCTTGAACTCCTAACCTCAAGTGATCCGCCCACCTCGGCCTCCCAAAGTGCGGGGATTTTTATTGGAGCAGTTTGCATGATGGAAAATATTAAGGGTTTGGTAGCCTGTATCAAAGAACCACCACCAATAAGAATATATTATTCTCGCCCCAACAGTCCACATATGAGATTGTTTAGCATCTTGCTACCTCGTGCTTTTATTCACAAAACTTCCCCTCCTCCCCAGCTCTGACTTTCTTTCCATGCCCTGTGTGTCTTGGAGACCTTCCTACTTCCTCCCATACATGTGTTCATTCTGTGGCTGCCGCATGATTTATTGATCCAATTCCATTTTGATGGACATTTAGTTTGCTCCCAGCTTTTGTGTATCTCTGCGATGACAAGCAAATGCTACAGTGAATATCCTTGCACATTTTTTTTTTTTTTGCCACCTAGTTGCTAGCATATCTAAAAGGTCAGCTCACTGGGTGCAGTAGCTCACACCTGTAATCCCAGCACTTTGGGATGCCGAGGCCGGTGGATCATGAGGTCAAGAGATCGAGACCAGCCTGGCCAACATGATGAAACCCCATCTCTACTTTAAAAAAAATAAAATTAGCCGGGCGTGGTGGCAGATGCCTATAATCCCAGCTACTTGGGAAGTTGAGGCAGGAGAATCGCTTGAACCTGTTGGGTGGAGGTTTGCAGTGAGCCAAGATTGCGCCACTGCACTTCAGCCTGAGCGAAGGAGTGAGACTCCATCTCAAAAAAAATTATAAATAAATAAATAAAAGGCCAGCTCCCAGAGCACAACCTCTGAGTCAAAAAGCTGGCATATTCTAACTTCCATAGATTTTTTTCCCCCAAAGGCTGGACCAATTTCCAGTATCACCCACAGCCCTATGGGTACAGCTTCCCCACCCCCTCACTTCTGACTCCACTGGGTTTGACCACACCTGAAACTCTTTGACTATCTGCCAGGCAAACATGGTCTTATCGTCTTGAATTGAATTTCTTTAACTATGACGGAAGTTGAGCATCTTTTCATGAGTTTATCAGCCATTTCTATTTCTTTTCCTCTCTCCAGTGCTTTTTAATAATATCTGATTTCATTTCCAAAGGCAGAGAGCTTTTCCAGCCCACCTCTTCTTCCATCTCCCCTCTATGGTCACCCCATCACTTTAAAGACCAAGTCAGTTCCTCCATAGCAGCCTCCCTGCGCCTTGGGAGAGATGGGCAGCAAGCAGGAGAGAGGGCTGAGGGTGGATTTGAAGATGAGGTAAAAGGAGGAAGAGAGATTTGCTAGAGCTCAGGCACTGCTGTCTCCCTGCCATCACGCTGCGCACAATAGCAAGAGACAGATAAGAGCTGCAGCCGGTGGCGGAGATAAGGGGCTTGGGCAGCCAGAAAGTTCTGGAAAATGCTGCAGAGCCAGAGCAAACTTGGCACGTGGCCAGCTTGAGTCAGGCCAGCACAGACCCAGAATGGAGGGTGGGGCCCTTAGGGATGTGACCTCAGCTTCACAGCCAGGCTTGGAGTCTGAAAGGCTCTGTTAGACTTCGCCTCTTACAGTGTGTGAAACTTACAGGTTACTGACAAGGTATTTCTGAGACTTAACTTCTCCATTTCTAGAAGGAAGGTGCCAGCAGGGTTGGTGTGGAGATTAAGTCACAGGTTCTCAAATGCTGACCCGTGACAGTTTACAACTGTCCTCATAAAAATCAGGCTAGGGTCAATGAGCTTTGTGTAAAATTTAAGTTTGAATATGTGTTTAAAATTGGCTGGGTGCAGTGGCTTACGCCTGTAATCCTAGCACTTCAGGAGGCAGAGGTAGGAGGATCGCTTGAGCCCAGGAATTCAAGACCAGCCTGGGCAACATAGGAAGACCCCCATCTCTTTTTTCAAAAAGTTTTTTTTTTTTTAATATAAGAAAGAAAAAAAAGTTTAAAAAATGCCTTTATGCTGCGATTAGGGTTTCGGGGTTTTTTGGGGGTTTTTTTTGCCATCTCAGAAATGTCCTTTTTAAATTAAATGCTGACCATTTCTATTTATTTTTCTCTCCTGGCACTTTTTAATATTATCCTTTTGAAGGTTTGTTGTTGTTGTTGCCTGATCGTCTGTTTGCATTCTGGTTGGTTGGTTTTAATAATCCTGGTGAAGGAAGAAGTTCACAGTCCCATGTTGATCCCACATTTTTCAGTGTTACTGGTTCACGATACTTAATAGTCTGGGAACTGCTGTGTGAAATGAGGAAATCTATGAAAAGTACTTAATACAGTGTCTGAGGCAGAGATGGTGCTCTGAAAGTGATGGTTATCGTTTCATCCCTGGGAAGATGAAGACAACAGGCCCTAGCCAGATCTCATGTGTTAATAAAACAAAACTGGCACCTCCCCAGAATAAGGCTGCTGCATCCCAGGGTTGGCACACCTAGGGATACCCTAGGGGCAGGCGTCAAGGAACCTGTCCATCAGGTCAGCTGAGCACACCCTAGGATACCCAAGAATTGGTGAGAGATATCTTAGGATATCCCTTCTTCCTCTGAGCTTCCTGTGGGACCATTACCTAGGGATGGGAAAGGTGGTCACCTTGGTTGAACCAAGGGAACTAGCCCCTGGTCCCTGGTCCCCTCCATCCACTCATGTCCCACTGTCAGGAGCTCCTCTGACTGACCTGCCTCCTCCTCACCTCTCAGCTAGGTGAGTACACATACACCTGCTCCCAGCCACCTGTCCCCCAATGCCAGTCTGCTGCTCTGCAGGTAACGAGTGTTCCTGGAGCAGGCTTTCAAGGGTCAGCCTGGAGTCCTGTATCCTGTCCCCAGAGCCCACGGAAGAGTGGCCTGTCTCATTCAGAAGGCTTTGCCCACCCCCACCAACCCCAAAAGCCGCAATGGAGCTGTGTTAGTCTGTTTTCATGTTGCTGACTAAGACATTCCTGAGACTGGGCAATTTACAAAAGAAAGAGGTTTAATAGACTCACAGTCTCGTGTGGCTGGGGAGCCCTCACAATCGTGGCAGAAGGCAAGGAGGAGCAAGTCACGCCTTACATGGACAGCAGCAGACAAAGAGAGAGAGCTTTGCAGGGAAATTCCCTTACAAAACCATCAGATCACGTGAGAACAGCTTGGGAAAGACCCACTCCCATCATTCAGTTATCTCGCACTGGGTCCCTCCCACAACACTTGGGAATTATGGGAGCTACAAGATGAGATTTGGGTGGGGACACAGAGCCATACCATATCAGGAGCTGTATGTAATTTTAAGGAAGGAATGACACTGAGCATTTGGGGGAACATGTAAATTTCTTTGTCACCTCCATCCATTTCAACTAATATTTATAGCACAGTTCTTTGCAAGGACAAAAAAAACAAATGTCCCCACCTTTCTCAGTCATTTGAATCACAGGTCAGGGAGAACAGCTGCTTCCAACAGAGCTGACACAGCCCCAAGGTCAGGGTAAAGGATTTGGGCACAGCACCTTCTGTGCTTGGAGAAGTACAGGCTAATTCCTGGGCAGCTGAGCGAAAGCCTCGTTGGCTTTGGGAGGATCCCTGCTATTCATTGATAAAGATCTTTCTGTGATCCTATGACATGGCCAGAGAGTCAAGAGTTCCCTGGAACTTTTATTCCAATACAAGGTGACCCAGTGACCTCTGACCTCTAAGCCCAGTGTGACCTCTGTACCCCTGCAGCTGCCTGACTTGCTCACTGGCTGTCTCATCTGTCCTGTAGGTACATGATCACAAGCCTGGACCGCACCCACGCTGGCTTCTACCGTTGCATTGTGCGGAACCGGATGGGGGCCCTGCTGCAGCGGCAGACTGAAGTCCAGGTGGCCTGTGAGTACAACAGGGACCCAGAGGCACATGGGGGGACTATGCTGCTCGGGTGGCACCCACCAGACACACCCTGGGCAGAGCCAAATCCTGTCGTGGCCATCAGCACCTACTGAGTGCTAGTGGTGTCGCTTCCAGCCAGCGAGCTCGTTTTACAGTTGGTAGAAGCAAGGCCCACAGAGGTAGCAGGCCCTCTCCAAGGTCACACAGCTGTTAAGTCCCATGCACATCTGCTGAATCTGTGACCCCATGACATGTCCCGAGAGTCAAGAGCTCCCTGGTGCTTTTCATTCATTCCAGATGGGGGTGGCCTCGTCTGTGTCCTTTAAATGGGACCAGCTGATTTGTGTTCCAAAAAGGGTCTTGCACCTGCTTCGAGTGCCTCCTCTGTGGTCCACCTCACACCTGGGAAGGGGCGTCTTTAGAATGGCCACCTGAGCTTCTCCAGCTACAACAGTCTTCTTGGCAGACTTTCCAGGCCTCCATGACTTTTCTTTTCCTTTCATTCTTTTTGCGGCGGAGTCTTGCTCTGTCATCCAGGCTGGAGCGCGGTGCTGCAGTCTTGGCTCACTGCGACCTCCTCGTTCAAGCGATTCTCCTGCTTTAGCCTTCCACGTAACTGGGATTATAGGCAGGTGCCACCACACCCAGCTAATTTTTTGTGTGTTTTTAGTAGAGATGGGGTTTCACCATGTTGGCCAGGCTGGCCTCAAGCTCCTGACTTTGAGTGATCTGCCCACCTCAGCCTCCCACAGTGCTGGGATTACAGGCGTGAGCCACTGCGCCAGCCATGACTTTTATTCTCTGTCCTCCAACTTCCTCAGCCCTGGAGTGATAACAGCCTGGGGGTCCCCATGATCTTCCAGCGGTTCTGGGAGGTGCCTCCTGGTGAGCACTGAAGCACTCAGAGGGAGAGGAGAATGGGGACTGGATCAGGGTTCCCAGGGAGGCTGGGCGGGCAGAGAGTGAAGTGGGAGGCCCTCACCAAGGCTTTTGGGGTAACAGCCTTCTCCCGAGTGCTGCCAATTCCAGAAGATCTCCCTCTGATGAGGAAAGGAAGACAGCTTCAGAAGAACCCCAGGGCATCTCAGGGCCAGGGTCCTAGAGTGCCAGGTGACACTCTTCCCCCAAGACCCAGTGTCCCCTTCCCAGCCCTGACCCTCTTCCTAAAATATCTGCTGTCTTCTAGAAATGAGGCACATGATGAGCTGTTTCATTCTGGGTTTCCTTAGGAGAAGCCCTAAGTTGTACCGTGGGACATGAGAGGGTGGCCATCCTTAGAGAGGCCTGAATTTTTTTTTTTTTTTTCCTGAGATGGAGTCTCACTCTGTTGCCCAAGCTGGAGTGCAGTGGCATGATCTCAGCTCACTACAACCTCCACCTCCCGGGTTCAAGCAATTCTCCTGCCTGCCTTAGCCTCCCAAGTAGCTGGGACTACAGGTGTGCCACCATGCCCGGCTAATTTTTGGGGGGTTATTTTTTTTGTTTGTTTGGTTTTTTTTTTAGTAGAGATAGGGTTTCACCGCATTAGCCAGGATAGTCTTGATCTCCTGACCTCGTGATCTGCCCGCCTCGGCCTCCCAAAGTGCCGGGATTTCAGGCATGAGCCAAAGGCACCCTCTCATCTGGAGCCCATGGGGGCATGCTCCTAAGTTAGCACAGGAGAGAGCTTGCTACTTGAAGAGAAGTGCAGGAGAGAAATCTAAAAGAAAATCTCGAGTGAAGCAAAGAGTGTTTATGATAATTATGGAAAACAACCGTAATCAAAAGTGGAGAATGGATTGTCCCCATAAATCAGCACTAACGGCAACTCGACTTACTCCAAGGAGCAGAAAAAGCCCTGAATTAAAATGATGGATCTCAGGCAGCTGTCAGCCGGCTGGAGGACTCCCTGGGAGCTTCATCTAGTCAGTGCTGAGAGTCCAGAGGGCAGGGGGAAGCTGTGTCTGGGCCCCTAGAGAGACTGCATGTGTGTGTGTGCACGAGTGTGTGCAAATGTGTGTGCATGGGTGTGTGCAAATGTATGTGTGGGGGTTGGTTGGCCTTTTTGTTCACGTGTGTCTGGGAGAGAACGAGTGTGTATATGTGCCGGTGTGTGTGTGTGTGCGTTTGCATGAATGCATTCGTGCTTGGGTGTATTTTTCTGTTACCAGTCTGCCTTTCACCTGTGTATCGGAAAGAACGTGCGTGTTGTAAGCCTGAGTGTGAATGCACATGTATGCCCTTGCATTGCATGTTTATATGTGCAGACAATCAAGTATGTGCAAGTATGTGCACATACATGTATTGGTTATGTGTTCAGATGTGCGTGTCTGGAGTAATTTGCCTCTTTGCTCATGTGCGTGTATGTGTATGTGTGTATGTATGTGTGTATATGTGTGTATGTGTGTATGTGTACGTGTATGTGTGTATATGTGTGTGTATGTGTGTATGTGTATGCATGTGTGTATATATGTGTGTATGTGTGTGTGTATGCATGTGTGTATGTGTGTGTATGTGTGTATGTGTGTGTATGTATGTGTATGTGTGTATGTGTATGTGTGTATGTGTATGTGCATGTATGTGTATGTGTGTATATGTGTGTATGTGTATGTGTGTATGTGTGTATGTGTGTGCGTGTGTGTATGCATGTGTGTATGTGTGTATATGTATGTGTATGTGTGTGTATGTGTGTGTATGTGTATGTGTTTAGGTATGTGTGTGTTTGTGTGTATGTATGTATGTGTATGTGTGTGTATGTGTGTATATGTGTGTGTATGCATGTGTGTATGTGTATGTGTGTATATGTATATGTGTGTATGTGTGTATGTGTGTGTGTATGTGTTTATGTATGTGTGTGTTTGTGTGTATGTATGTATGTGTATGTGTGTGTATATGTGTGTGTATGCGTGTGTATGTGTATGTGTGTATGCATGTGTGTGTATGTGTATATGTGTGTATATGTGTGTATGTATATGTGTATGTGCGTATGTATGTGTGTGTATGTGTATGCATGTGTGTATGTGTGTATGTGTGTGTATGTGTGTGTATGCATGTGTGTATGTGTATATGTGTATGTGTGTATGCATGTGTGTGTGTGTATGTGTATATGTGTGTATGTGTATGTGTGTGTGTGTATGTGTGTGTGCGCATTTGCAAATGCCACCCAGGATGCCATATAGTCCAGGCTATGGGATGGGGTAGGTGGCAAGTTCCAAGCCCTTGGGTCACAGGAGACAGGAGAAACTTTCTGCAGTTAAGAGCCCCTGAGATGAAATGGCAGCCGCCTCCCCTGGGTTGGTTCTGCTGATCGAAAAGAGAGAGGAAGGGAGGTCGGTGTTTCTGTGGCTGAAATGCTTCTGTCCTTGACTGCGATAGAAATCTCTGAGCCCTGACTCAGCTCCTTGACCCCGCTCCTAATGCAAACTCCTTCCCACATACACACAAACCCAGAGTGGGGGGAAACTCCCTCCATACCAGGCCACACACATGTGTGGTCCCTTCCCCCGGACCCACAGGTGTCCTCCCCCTTCACACTGCAGGAGGGGAGTAACCAGGCCCATCTGCAGGGTGAGCAAGCAAGGTGCACAGGACAAAGGTTCTGGCATTTCCTGGGTGCTGCAGAGAAGGGCCCTGCGCCCCAGGGCCCTTCCAGGCCATGAGAAGCAGATGGAAAGGGGACTTGTGCTGCCTGACCCCTTAACCTCTGCCCAGGCACAGCCCCTGGGGATGGGGTACCCCATACTGTGGGTTCTGAGGGCCCTGGACCACGCTGGGTGATGCTGGAAGTGATGACTCTCAGTGGTGTGACATTGAGAGTCACTCTCAGGGGGCTTGGATCCAGAGGGAGCTTCTGAGATCCAGGGTGACAGTGAAAGGGCTTACAGTGTTGGCAGGCTAGGGGCTCGTCACGATGGCAGCCAGTATAATTTAATAAAAAGGGTGGACTGGCCAAGCACGGTGGCTCACACCTGTAATCCCAGCACTTTGGGAGCCTGAGGCAAGCGGCTCATAAGGTCAGGAGTTCGAGAGCGACCTGGCTAACATGGTGAAAGCCCATCTCTACTAAAAATCCAAAAATTAGCCGGGAGTGATGGCGTGTGCCTGTAATCCCAGCTACTTGGGAGGCTGAGGCAGGAGAATCGTATGAACCCAGAAGGCAGAGGTTGCAATGAGCCGAGATAGCGCCACTGCACTCCAGTCTGGGCAAAAGAGTGAGACTCTGTCTCAAAAAAATAAATAAATAAAAATAAAAAGGGTGGACTTTGGAGTCAGACAGACCACATCCTTGCTTTGTCCTGGATTGCTGTGTGACCCCAGGGAAGTGACTGGACCTCTCTGAGCCTCACCCCTGCTCAGGTTCTTCATCCATAAAATGTATTAATAATAACGACCTCCTAGGCTCATTGGAAGGATTCCTTGAACTCTTATGTGCCAAAGCGCCTAGCCAGCTCTCACACAGACACCCTGTATCAGTGGGAGTGACTGCTGCAATTAATATTCTACATTATCACTTTAAGGAAGCCAGAGACACCGGCCACAGAGCAGAATAGCCTTCAGCAAACGCTGTTCCAGTCAAATGCAGCAGGCCGGCACGTTCTCTGGTGCCATCCTGCCAGCCTGGCCCTGCCCCTCCACCACCTCTCACAGTGGGATTCTTGCCCTGCTCCGATAGCCCCCTCAAAGCCCCAGGGCTCTGGGTCCTCCGGACATGATTAAGACCACGAATGTCACTGTGTTCTGCCAGGGCCATACTGTGCTGCTGCTGCTGCCACGCTGGGCACATATGGGTAAGACCCCTGGCAAAGGAACAGGACACCTTAGAGTGGCTGAAGAAGGATCAGAGAGAGAGAGAAAAACCCAGGTTAACCTCCCCCGGCCACCGCAGCAGCTCCCTGAGACCAGCGCTGGGAGTGGCTTTGCCGGTGTGAAGCTGTTTCCTCCACAGTGCCCTAAAGTGGAAACCACAGCTGCAGCCCTTTGGACCCTAAAGCCAGGAAGTCCCAGATGTCCCAGAAAGTCCT